AATTTCGGCAACGCGAGGCGTGCGACGGCACGACGATCTCGACTGAGTTTGGGCACGCCGATATTACGTCGGCGTCCCTTATAAGCCGTATTACCGTCGTTTGAAATTTCCGGTCTCTGGAATATAATCAAGGCGACTAAGTCGCGAGTGAAGGGAAGGAACGCGGTCTTCTCGTGGAGCTATGAATTAGCGTGCGCGTGTCGCACCGTTTTCTTTCCCCGTTGCATTACTGGGCTTTTAGGAGCGAGAGTGCTTTCTTGACTTACGATCGTTGCTAGCTCACGTTTCCTGTTACGATTTCGCGTCTTCGCCTAATTCTGTCACGCCTTCTCATTCCTCTTCCAAGGGAGATGAACGCGCCCTCGAATGATATCCCGGTAAAAATTCTGCTAAATTTAAACGTGGGGATTATCAGGGAGATGGTGTTCTCTGATAAATCTGAAGTCCTGTTTGATAAACATTTAAAAAGAGGTCTCTGTATCTCGCTTATGTATCAGCATGAAATGAGCTGGGGAAGAAGCTTGGAAATACATTTCCAAAATGTCGAAACAATTTTTTATGTTGTTTCGTTATTTTATTTTCTATCTCCTTTTTAAGATGATTTTGCGATTTATTTATTTTTAATTTCATATTCATTGAAAATTATAATCCTTGCGAGAGCCTTTTAAAAAATTAAAAAATCAAATAGACATAAAATAGATCTAATTTTTCTTTCCTTCTAAGAATCTATAACTTTTTTAAAGAGATGGTCCTTTGATAAATCTGAAGTCCTGTTTCGTTATTTTATTCTTTAACCTGCTTTTAATTTCACGATTTATTTTTAATTTCGCATTGGTTTAAAATTATAATTTAAATCCGTACAATTTTCTTTTAAAAAATTAAGAAATCAAACGCAAAATAAACCGACCTAATCCTGGTAGAGCTCGCATTTTTCTTTCCCTTAGGATCTATAATTTCTTTAAGATGCTGTTCTCTGACAAATTTAAAATTGCCTTCCGCTCGATAAACATTAAAAAAAATGTCCCTATTATTTATATATATCAGTATGAAATATCTCAATTTCACGAGGAAAAAGCTTGAAATAAATTTAAGAAATATTGGAATAATTTTTGATATCGTTTCATTATTTTATCTGTCCCTTTTTTAAGATAACGCGATTTACTTTTAATTTCCCGTTGGTTTAAAATTATAACGTAGATCTTTCCAATTTCCTTTTAAAATCTTAAAGATAAGGTAAATGCAAGACAGAACTCCTATTTTCTTTTTCTTCAAAGATCGATAATTACGATATAAAAATTAAATTCATCGCGTTTCGATATCTGACTCACAATGTCTTACTCTCAATTGTCGCGTGCATGCATACGAATGTGCATTTGAGGATGCACTCGAGTACGTGGCGCCCTCAACGCGGAGAGGCGATCATCGTCCTCCGTATTGCTCTTTGCAACGATCTCCGGGGCATGTTCCCTCTCGGAGATCTCGAAGAACCGGTATCTACCGGTCTACGGACAGTCATGTCGGTCATTAGTCGGACTAATGTAATGCTTCAAATTCTATCGGAGCCCATGGCGCCGGAACGGTTGCGTCCGTCCTCCCACTAAAGCGTCGAATCGTTAATATATGCGATAGGAACGGGGCCGTACCTGTTTTGCATTTTGTATTACGCTTCCCTTCCCTCCCATCCCCCCACCCCCTACTTCTGCTCATCCCTTTTTATTTTATAATTAACGCGGTCATCGCCGAAATCCGAGATAAGGAATGGTCCTCGTTAAGCCGGGATCAATGGCGTACCACAGATTAATTTCTACCGGTACGAATGACAGCAATTTAGCAAACGAGAGTGGCACGCACACGCAATATTGCGACATGACATTTCATTGGTTTATCGCGAAACGTTTAACAATGATTAGATAGAGCGCGAATTACTCTCACGCAAGTTTTCTTGAAAATTGCAGTTACATTTATATACATGTTATGTATCGCCGGCTGATTCATTATTATTCGCTTGTTAATTGAATAAATGACTACTGTTAGACCCACTCGTTTGTTGTATTAATAATATTGTGCTATCTCGATCGCGAAATCAAAACAATAGCGGCAGCAAACCGTGATAATTCGAGGAATAGAAACAAAACGGATACGGTGAATAATTATTCGTCGAAACGATTTTTCTCTACGTTACGGGCGATTAAACAGGCGCGTTTTTTGTACCTATAAAACATTAATCTAATATTTAAATCTAGTTTATGCATTTATTATCTCTATATATCTTTAACATTCCTCAAAAATAAATTTAAATACAAATTTAAGATAACATCGATTGATAATTTTTCAAATATGAAAAATTATATAAATCAATAATGTTTAATACTTAAATTCAAACTTATCATGTGTATGAGAGAGAGGCATCGAACATGATGTGACATGTAACGTATTTCCTTCGTAACGACGAAAGAGAAACTAATAAAGAGAAGCAAAGCGAAGTAAATAAAAAAGAGCAAAAGCTTTAGGGCTGGCTTTAATAAAGTCGAGTCACGCTTCGTATAGGGAGATCTTTAAATCGTCCTCAAACAAACCCGGTCCAGTCCTTGATCGTTGACCCGCGATCCGTTTGTTACACATCTTGCTCGTGCACTCACTCCTCTTCATTCGTATCTCCCTGTCTCTGTCTTTCTTTCTTTCTGCCATCGGCTTCTTGCTTTCCCAGTCTCTTTCTCCACGTCGTGTGCAAAGCAACCTCGCATGAGAGCACGGCACAATGGAGGTATTAAATGGATGTAAGGTAGTGGGTAAAGCGCGGTAAGTGAGTAAAGTTGATCAGAAACTTATATACGTATATACGTACGAGTGTCTCGAGCAACGCATCACGAAAATGAAAGTGCTTCGCAAATATTGGTTGCCGGCGACTTTACCGCGGTGCCCA